TTTTTTTTTTAAATATAGAAATAGAAAATCATTAAGTCCTCCTGCGAGTTTCAGCAGTCAAAGCAAACAGAGAGAAGGCCTCTAAGTGCTTGGGGAAGGATGGCACTGAAGTTAGTAGCGTGACAAGCTGTTGAGATTGGAACTGGTAAGTGTGCAATATAAGAAATAGGAAAAGGAAATATTTAGAATCAAGAGATGCCAAAACTGCAATCAGCAAATGGAAGGCTAAAACTGATGAGTAAAATCTGGATGCTTGTTTTATTATTTATTTTTATTGTTTAAGCTGTGCCATATAACCGTCTTGTTACAAGACACAATCAATAACAGCTCCTAACCGCCTCACTGCGGTGTCATGTACGTCCCTCCACCCACGTCCCTTGCGACACGAACTCAGTTGAAGAAGAGATGTGTACAATGCTGCTGAGCAAAAAAGGTGCTGTCCTGCTCCCGCCTCCGGATGGTCAGCACCTACAGACACAAACTCCCATGTCATTCTGAGGTTTGAAAAATCTGGATGCTTAAAGCGAGTGGGGATTTGTGATATCAAATACACGACAGAGATTAGAATTTTAGAGCGCCTGGGGGAATAGAAATATAGCCACTAAGACTGTCTCTAAACCTGCAAGTACCAGAAGTGCCCAGTTATACAGTAGAGACAGTGACGTACCCGAGCACAAAGTTATTGCATAAATACGCATGACAACCAGCTTGTGAAGGTGAACCTCCCTGAATCCCCAAACCCACCGCTGAGACTGCAGGACAGCACCATGACAGCGGGTACCGCAGAGCCACGGCGCGAGAGAGGGGTCAGACGGATGAGCATGCGTAGGCAAGAAGCTGCAGGTGGCTGGCAGGGAGAGCGGATGAAGATCATTGCCAAACTCACACATGCATCAGCAAAAGCCACCGAAAGCAACGTGTCTTTTGCTGCCCGTAAAGCAGGAAGATGACAGGTGAACGTCCGAGAAGCAAAGGGGCTGGGACACATATACCTCTCTAAAGGACCCGAAGCAGTGGGAGATGTTGATGGCATGAAACATTTCTGTTTAAGGATAGAGAATACAAAACAACTGCTTCATAAATTATTCTCTGTTCCGGAGGAAGAGTGAATAGACTTGAAGGACAGGTGATGTCTCTAAAATATGCAAATCGAGCTGAGCTGGTCCAAGCAATTACCTTTCCACTGCCTGGAACTTCAGACAGAAAGGAATGAGTCACAAGAAAGAACAAGAAACAAAAGATGTGCTAAAAGGTAGATGATGATGAAGGAAGACTGCATCTAGAGGAGAGCAGAGACAAGCAAAGAAAAGTATAGTCCCGACCTCCTACTAACAGCTGTTCTTGGGAAGAGGAACAAAACCAACCCACGACACAGAACACAGTAAGACCATGCCAACACGGGAGGACCTAACTGCAAAGCATCCAGAAAGGCAACCGTGATTATTGGTTCTAGACTTCTGGGTTCAAGATAAATACAGCAAGGAGATTACTGTAGCTTCATCAATGTAAAGACAACAGATCTCACCTCAATAGCCTTTAGGTTATCTGCTACTTAAAGATGTCCTAGCAAACAAAACTGCTGAAAATAAACACAGTATGATCATTTCTTTCCAGGTTTTAGACAAAGCTCTGAAAGAAAAGATCAGGCATGACTATCAGACAACCCGCTAGCAGCAAGGGTGAAGAAGAAACTAAACCACATTGGAAATAGCTATGGAGATGGGCCAACAGATGTGCCTCTACTGTCACAAGTGGCATACTAGCTTCCCAGAGCAGAGAACAGCCGTGCCACTGCCTCTCCATCTTCAGCTGTCTCCCAAGAAAGTGCGGGTACTCCCAACTCCATGCAGGAGCAGGAAGCAGCAGGTCAGATTTTGGCTGCTGCTGGCGTTCTCATTGCTTCTGAACACAAATTCAGGGTGCTCCTACTGCATCAGAACGCTTTTACTTTGTTTTTTTTTTTTTTTCCATCCAAAACAAGCAAAGATTACTAAATTATATCAGCTACAGTCTGATGCTGAAAATGTACTAATACAGAAACTGCAAGGTCAATACGAAAGAATGAATCAATGAAGAATCAAGAAAAAGGAATGAAGAAGTGGATCTATTTGGACTGCATAAGAAATACTGCATTTAGTTCCATTCTATTTATCAAGAAAAATACTGACAGCCTGAAAGCTGCAGAACAGCAGCAAATCTGCTGGGAAAAAAAATGAACCTATGAAAACAATAAGGTGTTTCTAAGTTTTAAATTTTGTATACTTAGTACTAAAGGACCAAGACATTAAAAACCCTTTGCAAATATATAAAACAGGAGACTGAGGAGGATTTAAGATAACACTCAAGAACAACTTTAAGGGATGAGATGAATTGATGAAGAGAAAACATACAGGTAATATTGAGAAAGCTTTACAACAGCAAAATTCATGAAGCTGCACAATGAGAAATTCAACACCCTTGTACTGTAATTACTATTTATGATTCATAATGATCCGAAAGCTGAACTTTTCAAATTTGTACCAAGCACTTTATACTGCTCTTAACCAATTACTAACAGTATTTCCTTCATGAACTACTGAACGTAAGAAAAATTCAAAGGAACCCAGCAGATGAGCATGTAAAGAAGATGCAATGACAGTGATGAAGCACCTTGTAATGTACCCACAGATCTCTTCTATAAATCCAATTTGAAATTTGAAGACTTAAAATAGCTATTTCATTTCCATCCCCTGACACATGCTTTTCCATCATTTTAAAGAACAGAGCTCCCTCTCGTGGCTCCAGAAGGTGGATTGGGGGGGGAGAAAAAAAGGAAACTAAACCAAAAAAAAAAGTACAGAGCAGCATGAGACAGATCAGAGAGAGGACTCCTGGTAGCATTTTGGTCCTCTAAAAGTGGAATTAAAAGGAAGATGTAGTAGGAAGGATAGATGACTTCTTTTAAAGAAAGTAATGTCACCTGTACTTTAATGCTAACTTTTAAATTACATTCTCTGCTAATGTTACTTCCTCTGCTAGGCCTTTCCGCATCTAAACATATTCCTTCAATGTCAAGCGCTCAGATCTCTTAACAGGTTTCTAGCTCAGCCAGAGGCAAGGCACAGGAAAAGGGTCAGGACAAGAAATATGGCACCTACGCAGCGGTGCAGGGACCGTAAACCAGGTAACATCCTATGGATTTTCCTCAACATTATAGCTCTGTGCACCGAGACCACACGGGGAAGAAAAATCATTGGCTTCCAAAAGCCAAGAAATACATGCATAGTTACGTGAGGGAGAGAAGCTTATCTAGTGAAACACTTCAACAAAAGCATGTGAAGAAAAAAAAAAAATCCCAATTCTTTAAATCACTCTGACAACTCAGCCCTGACATCTTCACAGGAACTTCTGCTCGAGCTCCAGCATTGCTCTCCTCCTGCAAGCCCACACTTCTCGCATCAACTATCCAAAAAGGGAGGACGGAGCAATGCATGAAAGAGCAAACACACCGGTGCAACAGCATTACCCACCACAGCCTAGTTTGTGCGGAGTCCTGGGGATGCGCTTATCCAAGGACAGCAATGAGAAGAAACACGCTCACACGCATTCACTCCTCACCTTAGGGCAAGAGGGGAGGACCCTGAAATCACTGGACAGAGAGAGAGAAATTTTTTTTTTTTTTTTTTAAGCTAACAGACAATTGCACTTTCCTAGCTGACAGCTTTGTAACCTGAAGGTCACCCCTGTGACAAGAAGTATTTCTCTGAGGCAAGAAACTGATGGGAGTACCCAAAGCTAAGCTTGTCACCATGCATGAGAAGTCTTTTATGTACAGCAGCTCTACCCATGAAAATTCAGAAAAGTGTTGGGAGTTCTGTTTCGTTTTTTCATTATTCAATGACTATTCATACGTTTCACTTTACACTGCTAGACACCTTCATTCAAGATCATACATGGATTCTTTTTAAATTATTTCTGTATGAGAATTTTAGATTGGACAAGAATTTACACAGCATGCTGCTAGCTTTTGCTAACTGCACAGCGTACTGCCAACTGCACTACACAGCATATAAAAGTATTTTCCCCAAGGGCATTAAAAAGGGTTTCCTCTAAATGACAATATTTCTTTGCTGCAGAAACAGGATCAACGCCATGAAACATGAACTAGTGAAGAAAAAACAATTACTCTTAAGTCTCCAGAACCGCATCAGAAGACAACCGAGAATCAAATTCTTGATTCATAGGCTTGTGCTCACACAAGATTTTGCTTCCAAAGCACAGGACCAAAAAAGAATCAATTTCCTACCGTGAAAAGAAATTACCATGCCTTCAGCATTTTGCTATTAGTGAAATATCTCCGCTCTATCTCCAAAGGCAATACTTTTTCTAAAGAGCAATCCTCTTCAAAAATTATATAAAAATCAGTCTATAAACAGGGAGATATCCTTAAATATTCAATCCAGTAATAAACCTGGTAGACGAAAGACAGATTAATTAAAATGACTGTACAGTCTCCCTATAACACACACATACAGGGCGTACAAATACACTTGTTATGTTGGAGTACCTAATCATAATCGGATTTGGTAATTTGCTGCATCGAAACAAAAAGGAAACATTTTTAGAATTGATCATTCAGTTCATGTCACTTTCATGGAGATTACTTTGTATTGATCAACATTTAAATAGTAGTTGAAAAGAGAAAGATGAGAAAAGGATAAAAAGTATCTCTACATGCTAAATACAGCATGAACCAATAAAAGCAAAATAAATTAGATCACTATAGCCAAACCAACCCTGTGCATGCGCTCACTGTAATGAAGATAATTAGAAATGAAAGAGATGGTTCTTCACGTTTCAGTCATAACAAAAGGAGAGTTTTAAAAATGAATTTAGACTTTAATCTGCTCATAATGAAGTTTGCCATGCAGCAATTAAAATCTCTGTGAAGCTGAACCATTGTCAGCTTTACAAAGACAAACGCTGGTTTGTTTCCTGAACAGTATTTTCATGTTTCCTACCTGTGGATTCCAACTGGGGTCCAGTTTTTTCACTGTAGCAACATACTCCTGCATAGCTTGATGAGGGCTGGTATCTCCCAGGGCTTTCCAAGCCTCCCTAGGAGAGAGAACAAAACTTCAGCAAGCCACTCGGAGACAGCACAGTGTGTTTTTATAGTGTCATCAGTGGAACACAGTGAACAGATTCATCTAAATGCTTTCAGAGGTTGCAAAGCCATCTTCCATTCAGTTTGAAACAGTCAACTTTTCTCTGAAGCCATGAATGGCCACCATCAGTGCAGCACTCCGCTGTGAAAGGATCTTTCAGGGGATGCTGATCCAGGCTGGAACACAGTTAGTGTTCACAAAGTAAAGCTGTTTGTAAAGCTGTAGCTCTTTTCACAGAATTTGTTGCATGCAGGTTAATTCTGGATGAACAAGGTAAATACAGGAGTCTGGTATTTCATGTCTGCATCAGGCATACATTTCCCTATTAAACAAAGGGTTTTAAAGCCAGTTCAGCGGCAGACTCTCACCGTTGACATCCTCTAGGTCAACAGATGAAACAACATGCAACAAAAAGTTGTCAGAAATTGCTAGGGTTTACAAGGATTTCCTCTTACCATTTCTGCTTTCCCTCAAAATCAAAGAAGCTTGGCTTGGGAGTGTTACAGGTTCCAAATTTCACCTAAAGAAAAGAAATTTCCATCTGTTAGGACAAAGCAAAGGGAAGGGGACTTGCATAAGGAAATACTGGGTTCTGACAGTTCCAGGGTAATTCTGTTCTTGTGCCAGAGGAAAAGGTTTTTGAGGGAAAGAACGGGCACAACTCAACCCCATCTTACCGTCATTTTAGCGCCCTCGCAGTTATTAGCACCTCCGCATCCCTGCGGTTTGTTTGCGTGATGCAAGGGAAGCAATTTTGTTACAGAGCTCGTTTCTTTCACATGCGTTACCCAACAGGGATAAGCAGCAAGTGATTTCTCACTTAATATTATGTTTATTACCCAGCCAAATGCCTCATCCTCCACCAATATCAAGAAAAATTCTGTTGATTAGGGTTTCCACACAGATGATTACTCATTAAAGCTGAAATTCACTTGCTTTCGCACAAAGCTCAAGTAAACACAATTTGTTTAATTATTTTCAAGGTCCTCTGGAAGGCAAGGGGACAAACTCAGAGCAAAGGAACGCGAAGCAGCTTCTGCATTTGCTCCGAGGCATCTGGCTGCATAGGAAGCACTGTGTGAGAAACAAGCCGAGGCTTGAGCGCTGGAGATGAACCGGTCTGTCAGAAGCAAGCCAGAAATTAAAATGTTGGGGGAGAAATAAGAAAGACAAGGAAGCAAGAGAATGAATCTGAACTAGTGGATAGATATATATGAAAAATATCTTATAGCCAAGGTAAAATGGACTTGGTGCCAGTGGGATTCAGGCAGTTTTTTCCATAGGGTGGTGATGGGACAAACACAGAGCGCTTCTCACTGCAGGGAAGTGCAGCTCCTCCGCAAGCTCACCCACAAAGAGGAACACAGAGGACGGACAGAGGCTCCGCGTGCCCAGCGCTCCAAGGGCACAACCACGTTCCTGCGCCCAGGCCAGCGCTGACAATTGCCTCAAGAAGAGAGCAATTAGCAGGTTGAGATTTGGGTAATGGAGATATTTTCTTGAAGTCAGCTCAGGGGAATGTGTAAGTGAACGTGCCTCTGTCCCTGTCTGGAAGGGCCAGGGAATACGGGTCAGGCCCCACCAGATCTGGCTGTCATCAGTGTCCTTTTCTCATCGAAAATAAAGCCCCTTGCACACCAGTGCCACTGGTAAAATGAATCTAATGGAAATGAAAAGATCATTGTGATAGGGAATGAATTTATACAAAACATGGGTTTGCAGATTTTTTTGTTGCGGGGTGGTTTTTTTTTTGTTTTTACTTTTTTTTTTATTGGAAGTGCTATAGATCCTACAGGGATGATGGATGAAAGACTACAGAAGCCAGCACAGAACCCCAGCTCCAAACGCAACAGCCCCCAGGAACCAGTTATCACAGCAAGCCCCCATAACACAGGGCACAACCCAGCGCAAAGGAAGCCCCGCTCAGCTGGGGTATTTAAACAGACCCCGGGGAGGGAACACAGGTTATGCTCTGGAGGTGGGCAAAGGCTGCCGGTTGAACGTTTTGTTAGCCAAGCAAAACTAAACTGTATTCATCAAATGTTTTATGAAATATGCTCAAGTGTTCAGGCAGGTGAAGTGCTTAAATCAACTAACAATTCTTCACCTTAACAGGGTGGGGATTTTATGCTGAGGATGGAATCATTAATCACACTTTAAAGAGAACATGCCCGTGCTGAGAGATATTTATTAGTTACACTATGTTTTCATTTAAAGTGTTAGAGGATATGAGTGACTGTAACTGAAATTAATTTTCTGTACATCTGACTGTCTCCCAGTGAGCAATTAATTCAAATTAGAACATCTTAGCTGGCCTTTAAAACAACATATCACATTTCATGGAGAAATAGGAGAAAGGGCTAGCAACAGTTAAGACCTATAAATCAGTCACAATTCATGTAGCTTAAATGTTTTCTCCTGTACTCAGGGGTGGATTGGACCACTTATTTCAGAAAGCAAAACAAACATGGAAATAAAATGCAAATTCATTATCTGCGTGGAAAACGCCTGCTTGGCAATTCTTTAGTTTAACATCTAACCCGCAAAAATTGGCCAAGTTGGATTAAAAAAAAATAATCTGTTTAATATTAATTTTCCACTGCCATCATCAAAACACAACAGCAGTTTCCTCTCTTTAGATCTGGCATTCAAAGGCCGTTCTAGAGTCGGGAAAGACTGTTAGTAACATCAATAGTAATACAAATCAAGGAACAGTAGTTAAATTTCATCCATCAAGAGGGGGAAAAAAACTGCACTTGTGCCCTGTTTGCTATTTTAAGATATATTAAAAAGGCTTGCAACTGTTTTGTTGGAAAGAAGAAAATAAAGGTTTTGGCTTCCCTCTTTTTGCTGCAAGACTCCATAATGCATCAGAAACCAACCAGGAATCTAACATTAGAGTGGACCCGAGGCTGACAGCTGAGGAAGGGGAGTTTTAGCTAAATATGCCAACGCTGACAAATACTGGGGGGTAAAATTTGTGAAGGACTCTGTCCTCCTGCTACTCTCCTGAAGGGCCTCAAAAGCTGGGTTTTTTCCATAACCAGCAGGAAGATAAGAGCCCGTATTAGTATTTCAAGTCAAGGGCTTCTCATTCTGTGTCCACAAAATAATTACTGATGGTCTCCAGGGGGCTGACTGGTCACTTGATGCTTAGCTCTCCTCATTTACAGTTCATCAGCCGCATTAAAAAAAAGACAGCCAGAATGCATTAAATACTTCCCTAGTATTGCTTCTGCATGCAGAGTTGCCCGCAGGCATTACACTCCTGAACCGTACAAAGATGACCCAGGCAGCTCCAAATGGGAAGCGTCTGCAGACGTCTCCGTTTGTGGCCAAAATGGAAATTTAGAAACCTTGGATGAAGCCTTCACCTGAAAGCTGAAGGTCACAACATTCAGAAGAGTGCTTGGATCGACAGATGCTCAGAGACATGTTAGCACTGCATACCGTCCCCATACGACTTCACCTGATGGTCCAGACTGTGAGAAACCTCGAGATTCGATTCTCCTTACGCATTACTCCACAACTGATTTGCCTCCCTCTGCCCCTGTGGTGGTGGGAAAATGGTTCTTTGCTAATTTTTCAAGCAATACATTTATACAGCAGGGAGTTCCAGCCAAATATTCTTACCTGATTGTAAATCTTCTAAGGTGAATCATATTTGCAGCCTCTCTAAGGAGCAGTAACAAGAACAGAACTCATTTCCGTGGACAGCAGGACCAAGCTGTAGGCCAAGGGAGCTGAATTTCTTTGGCAAGACTGGAATTCCCACCTGTTCCTGCCCAAAGCTCTGCCCTATTAACCTGCCCCAACCCGTGGGAGAGCCCTGTACTCAACTGACTGAAAGTGGTGCGTAAGGAAGAACAAGCAAGCATCAACCACAGAAGGGAAGGGGTCCTGGCCCTGATGACCAAGGGGTTGCACGTCCCAGAGAGTGCGATGGTGGTAACAACCGAGCCAGGGCCATCACACTGTTCCGTGCCACAGACAGCTGCAGGCAGAAACTCCCGTGTTCAGGGCAGATTTGTGGCATCATGTTTTACAATATTTGCAATATTGTAAATGTTTTACAATATTTGCAATATTGTAAATGGGATTATATTCTTGAGCTTACACTTGGAGAAAGCGTAAGCCCTGTTTTGCCAGCGGCACTGGGTTTCCAGCTCGCCTGCACCTCTCAGCATTTACAAGGGCACTGGCACATCCTTCTCCTGGCAGGGCAGTTCTCAGTTCGATCATTTCCAGCAAGTTCTGGATTCCCTCCCCTCTCTGAATGATTACCGCTCCATTGGTCTCCATTACTACACTTCCTGAACCTCAGTTTTCTGCATCCTCAACACAACAGGCAAGCGCTATCTTCACTTCACCGCTACAAACTCAAGGCACAGACAAGTGATTTGCCTAAAGCCACACAGAAAGTAGAGGGGAGAAAATCAGTCCCAGGCCAGAGCCCTACCGACTACTCTGTTCTTCCTGTGCTGGGGCAGAGTCGTAAACTCAGCAACAGCTTCTAAAGACCTCACTGGAGATGAAAACTAAGCAATTCCCTTATTTTCAAGTCTCTGACACATAAACAAAATCAGAGAGAAAAGTAATAAAATCCTGAAATGGCCTCCAATAAAAGGTAATAAAATTCCAGGAAAATGCCTATATACCCAAACAGTTTGAAATAAATAATATACAGTATTTTAACAGAGAGCTCAGCTGTTACTGTCACCTCTTTTATGATGGTGCTGTATCTTAAATCAAAGCCGTTAGTGACATAAAACACTAAACTGAGGAAAGACAAGGATGCCAAATCAAGGACAGTGGACAGATCTGAGTCAGCACCTTTTGTGCGCTAGCAATACTACTGTCCACCGGAGTAATATATTAGCAGCCCATTATGCATACTGATACAGCTGCTATAATTAAGTAGAGAAAACTTGCATTAAGCACCCTCGCTTTGATTTAAAGCACAAAAGGCTGCAGAACTCAAAGTTAGCAGAGCATAATCCTGCAGTAGCTGTGCTAGCAAACTTCTCCCGTCTCCACCTCCAGTGCTGCCCCCCCAGGCACTCCGTAACGGGGATGGCATCTTCCTGGACAGCATTGGGCAGCCAAAGGCACAGAAATCCAGGAGCCAAGCACAGCCTGAAACCAAGGAGCACAAAGGTACTTGCTCTCGCATCCTGCTTGGCCAGGGACAAGAGGGACAGAGGAGAAGAGGACAGAAGTGCCCTGCTCCCCTCAGATGAAGTCAACTGGAAATTTGGTCTGACACAGCGTTAAGTATCAGCTTTTTTTGACTTGTATCAAAACTGTTGTGAAATAGCTCCTGATTTAAGTAATTTTTAACATTAAACACCTTACTGGTCTTACAGAGCTAACAGCAGGAAACCCTCTGGAGTCTGTTGACAATCACGAGCTGATACACAAGTAATGCCTTCCCATTTCCACCTAGGACAGCTACAAAGCACTTGCAACAGAGTGAAAAATAAGAGGTTATTTGCAACAAATCTCCTGAGAATACAGACAGAAAGTTACAGAAGAGAAAACACACCCTTTCTTTTCATCTCATCCTAGGCATGGTCTTCTTATTCTTAACTCCTAGTATTTTTGTTCTACCCTCCTTTTTCTTAAAAAGGGAAAGAGAAACCTGGAGACCTCTCTAAGCACTAGAAAAATCTGAAAACAAAAC